TATTAGTTAAATAAATCAACACATGGAGATTTGCAGTTCTGTGGAACAATTTGGGAATTGTAATGATAAGAGTACAGAGAGGGTGGGTGGGGAGGAGAAACAGTGAGTCATTAGTCTGGAGAGACCAGCGGGGGCCGCTCATTGGAGCTCTTCATATGGTAGTAAGGTATTTGGGCTTTTTCTCTAAGCAACTGATCAGATTCACGTTTTTGAAACGCCATCCTAGTATCAGGGTGAAGGTTCCTGAGCGATGAGGTAAGGTTAGAGGCAAAACGTGAGTAAGGAGAAAGAAATGAGATGGTGTGAAGAGAAAGAGGAGGCGTGAGTGAACTGGAGAGCATTAAGAGGTCAAAATCAGCAGCGATTGGTCACGACTTGGATGTGAAGAGTAAGAAAAAAGGGAAGAACTCAAATGACTCCCAGGTTCTCTACTGTGTTACTGATTAGTTGAGAAGGAATATAAGAGGAAGAACATGTGTCTTTAAGGGAAGATGATTCTTCCGTTTTGTAAGTGTTGGAATTGAGTACTTCTGAGACTCAGGCTAAGAGGATCAGACCCTCTGGGCAGCAGAAGCATGGGATACAATCTGATGCATGGCCATGACCTCAAGAGAAGAGTCTAGGCTGGACATGCAGATTCAGAAGTCAACATCGCGTAAGTGGTTGCAGGAGTCATAGAATTAGAAGAGATGCCTAAGGAATAGCATGCACATGAGAAATCCTAAGCAGAGCCGTGTGCAGGCAGCATCAGCACTTGGAGAAGAGACAGATTCTTCACACAGAGGTGGAAGAAGCAAGGAAGAGTGGCTTCTTAAAAGCCAAGAAAAGGAAAATATCTAGGAGGATGATGACTGAAGCCCCAAATGTTGCCTATAGTGAGGGCAAGGACGAGAACAAAAGAAATTTCATTGGGTTGACAATTACGAGATCATTGGTTCCTCACCATAAAATGAAGTGGTAAAAACTGGAGGCTAATTACAGTGGGCGTAGTAGACACAGTTTGTGCTTCTCCCATATCTTTCAGCATTCGCCGTTCCCATACCTGTTCATGGGCTCCTACTGCAAACACCTGCCACTTTCTGCAGGAGTCCAGCTTTGTCTTGGAGCTGGCCAGAAGGGTTAGAGAGCAATGTCACCAGGAGCAACCCTCAGTGATCTGAGATGAGAGTTGATGGGTAAGTACCCCAGGATTCCCACCTCCAAAGAGGGAAAACTCTCCGACATGTTCTGCATAATTTCTCAAATGTCCTCAATGAGATTCAAATCTCAGTAGCACCCTATCCATTGACACATCCTATCTTGACTCTTTTCCTTCTCTAAGTCACCTCCCCCTGGCTGGGATTACCTCCCAAATAAGCCACTCCTATCAAATTCTCATCAGAGGCCAACACAGAGTTGCCCAACTTAAAATATTAAGTAATAAAAGTTATAAAGAGACAAAGATTAAAATAAGTCAGAATATTGAAGCGAGATTGTGAATGAAAAAAACATATAGGGCTGTGGCTAAAGGGTGGCATAAGGTCTAGAGATTTTTTTCTCTTTATATCATAGGAGAAAATCAAGCAAGTTTACATTCTGAGAGGAAAGAGCCTCTAGGAAGGGGCTGAGGGTGTAGGACAAAAGACAGTGTCCCTGGGATAGTTGGAAGGCAGGTGATTGCACAAGGAGGGATTGCGAATTGAGGAAAAAGGGCACATTTTCCTTGAGTAAGAGGAAGGGAGAGTGCAGTTGAGTGTTTATGTTTTGGTAGCTAGAAAGCAGAAAAAGAGCTCATTCTCTTAGGGTGAAGAAGATTAAGGTCCAAGTATAAATCTATTGAGCAAGAAAAAAGGATAAAAGTTGAGACTAATAGAATGCCTTCATTTAGGCGTCGAATGGAAAAGAGAAAAATTTAGAAAGGTAAGTCACAAAACGAGTAATACAGTGACATGGACATGAAAGAAGAAACACATTGAAAGGAGAAAATGATCAAATTGGCCAAGATTGTAGACAGGCTGAGGTGATAGGAAAAGGTTTTTGGATTTTGCCATTTCCTACATAATTATCAGTGATTTTGGAGAGAGGAGTCTCAATTGGGAGGATAGAATAGAAGCTGTTTGCTTAAAGGAAAAAGGAGTAAATGGAAAGGGAAATGATAAACAGAAGAGCCCTTGATCAAATAATAATTCCAAAATATATATTCATATCAGTTTAATGGAGAATGATATTTCCAGGGACACCAAGGGCTTATATTCAAAACTCATCAGCTATTTGGTTCTATTATATGAAATTGCCTAGATTTGACAATTTTTAACTACAAATAGGATAATTTCATATGGCTTAACCCAATACCCAAAAATGTCACCTAACCCATCTTGTCTTACTGACAAGAAGTCAGATTCTCCGGTCCTGTGGACTAAGTTTACACAGAATACCTGAGCCATAAAATTGCCAAGAATCCTTTATAGCTCATGAGACACATGGATGGGAGATAATGAAAATTGACAAATTATAATTTCATTGTTACTCTTTGCTAATAATGTATACTCGACAATAATAATAATTTCTACAACACAGTATTAGAAATAAGCAGCTTGCTTCTTGCTATATTTTCACAAATATTCTGAAAATAAAAATCTTTCTCTAGATCCCTCAGCTTTTTTTCTAAGTATTTTTGAGAGTAAAAAAGCTATAATAGAATGAAACTATGAATGGTAATTTATCTGCTAGAGACACTATTAAATGAAAGCAACTTTAGTGAACTTGATTATTTTGGACCTTACTCCTTGCTTCAATAATTTTTCTCAAATTTAATTGCTTGAAGGCCAATGATGAAGGGCATGTAAAATGCAATTAACAGATGAAAAATATCTCTTGTGATTTGATATTAAGCAGAAGTGATGGAGTGTGACATTAAAAAAATGGTATCAGAGGTGTACACTTTGCATTTCACTTTAATTACATCAATTTCAGATTCTGGAACACTGCAGTTTCACACATGCTTAATTAAATTATGTCAGTACCAAGACTTCTAGGTTAAAAACATTTTTTTGGAGGAAGTTTCAAAGACAGATAAGATGAGGACAGTCATTCTTTCTCTTTCTGGCTACTGGGTCAGAATAAGCTCTTGATTATCTCTTTTTACCTGTAATGATCTATGGTTGTAGTAGAAAATGCTTTGAATGGAATTCAAAGCCCTGAAGACTACTGATATGATTTTAAGTAGACTTTGGGCTCATGGGAAGGACAGTGGTCTATATTAATTTCACTCACTTGCTCCCTCTTATAAGTAGTTTCAGACTGATCTACTTTTTGCAGATGTAAAAAACAAACAACAGAGAGACTAATAAAAACCTTTTTTTTTTTAACAATTAAAGAATTAAATCATTCATTTTACTTCAAAGAATTTAAAAGGTTGGGGCTCCTGGTTGGCTCAGTTGGTTAAGTGGCTGCCTTTGACTCAGGTCATGATCCCAGGGTCCTGGGATTGAGCCCCCTATGGGGCTCCCTGCTCAGTGGGGATTCTGCTTCTCCTTCTCCCCACTGCTCTTGCTCATTTTCTCTCTCGCTATCTCTCTCCCTCTCAAATAAATAAAATCTTTTTTTTAATTAAAAGCTCTAATTTATACCCATTTTACAAACCAGAAACTAAAACTTAAAGATATTACTGTTTAGGTTGTGTCCTGCTGGTTGTATTGTTGATGTACAAGTTTCCCTGTGACGTATCATGTACTGCATTCCTGATCTACATGTTCCTTTCAAGGGATTCTGTGAATATGCAGGAATTACATATTTCCTTCCCTTGCCCCTGTTTATGTTAATAATGATGTTCTTTTTGCCCTTCCAGTGCTCATGTCCTACCTTCTTTTCCATTCTACCCTTTTCCTAGAAGCATTCTATGATAAAAGTTCAAGTGAAAGTCGTCGATGGAGGCCTGAAGTCCTCATGCGGGGGACACTAGCTAAACCGTAGTACCAAGTAAGTCTTAGGGGCACATTCATTAGCTTAGATTCTGAAGAAAGTATCTGCAGCCACAGAGAATACCCGCTCCAGCGCTCCAGACATTTTGAGATAGACCAGTTATTTTCTGGGGCCAGGATTGTACTTTCGGAATGTTTTATTTATTTATTTATTTATTTACTTACTTACTTATTTATTTAGAGAGTGAAAGTGAGATCACAGAGGAAGAGGGAGATTGGAGAAGGAGAAGCAAACTCACCGCTGAGCAGGGAGCCCACCGCAGGGCTCGATCCCAGGACTCTGGGATCATGACCTGAGCTGAAGGCAGTTGCCTAACCAACTGAGCCACCCAGGCGTCCCGGAACATTTTAACATGCAATGAAAACCTTGAGAACTTAAGTACTTTTTTTTTTTTATCAGTTTAGTTTATTTAATTTGTTAGCAAATAAGTTTGTTCTATTCATGATAATAGTTACCATTAACTAAATAACACATGTTATTTAAAAATACATACATACATACATAATCTAGTTCCCATTTAAATGGATATTATGATTCTTCTTTAAGGATGAGGGAACAGAGAAAATAAGTGACTTGCTCAACATCACACAACTTGTCTCCAAAAGGAGTCTGCGGATATTTCTTAGTTACACCTCACCTTTGTGGTCATTAGTGTGACCTTGTCATGTAGGAGATCAGAAGTTATTGTGTGATCCCCTCAAAATCTACTTCCTTAACTGCCAACTTTAACCAACTCTAGCTGTACTCAGCTGACAGGTTAAAATTGACAGAGTGAAAACCTCCAAGTTAGGTATCCCCTAACTAATTAAAATAATTTAAGAGACTCTTTGATAAGCTAAGATTAATAATACATGTAGAATTTTATTGACCCATTGATCGTTTTTTCCCTGAGACATTTAAGATATTTCAAAGATATTTCCACTAACACTTATCTCTTCCTTTTAAAACTAAACATCCCTAGTTAAAGCCTAACACTAGATAAGGACAAGTGCACAAATCCTGTGTGTACAGGTTGATAAAATACCACAACATGAACTCACCCATGTAACTGTCTTCCAGGTAGAAAACATTGCCAGTACTCTGAAGCCCCCTCATGCCCTTCCCAATGGCTCCTCCTTCTCTCCTTCCTAAAACAAACCATTGTCTTGACTTTTAACACCACGGATAATTTTTACACATTTTTTAGTGTTTTTATAAGGAGAATATTCAGGTTTTTAATCTATGCAGATTCTTTCAGTCAACATTATATTTAAGAAATGTCATCCAAGTGGTTGCAAGTAACTGTAATTTTATTTCCATCACTGATTGCTGCTCCATTGTATGAATATACCACCCTAAAAAATCAGTCTGCTGTTCATGAAAATCTGAGTTATTTCCATATGGGGGCTCTTACAAATATCACTATCATGAACAGTTTTGCACTTGTCTCTTGGTAGAAATGTTCGACTTCAGTAGGTAATTACAAACAAATTTCCAAAGTGGTTGTACTAATTTACAATCTTACCAGCTGTGAATGAGGAATACTACTTCACATTTTAGTCCTAATTTTTAATGTTTGTTAATAAGGTTGGGAGCCCAGAGGAAGCATCATCCTTGTCCAAATGCAGTATTAGGATTTTATATATTTTACCCCAGGTAAGTAAGCTGTCATCTTGGTCTCTTGTCATTGTGACCTACTCCTGAGTTATAACTGTTCACACTCTAACTGAAAGTGTATCCTGTGAACCGAGACAATTTAATAGCATATGGCAGCATACCAGTATGATGATCTCATGTATGAGTAACCATTTTAAAATCATCTTAGTAAATTGTTGATTCATTGGCCTGAAAAGAACAATGTCAAAGTAAGCCCATTCAGAGGGTGAGGCATTAAGCCTGGACATTGTGCTAAGATGAACACTGAGGTCTTCCTAATGTATCTTATGCTTATCACAATGTTTGAATGAAAGTTCTGAAGATACCAGAACTTTTGCACTACACTACTCTAGAAGGCAGTGTTAATTAAACTGACAATAGACGCCTAAAACTTCTGACCCATTCCTTTTAAATAGGTCAAAACCTTCTATTAAAGTTCTTTATAGGGGCGCCTGGGTGGCTCAGTGGGTTGGGCCGCTGCCTTCGGCTCGGGTCATGATCTCGGAATCCTGGGATCGAGCCCCGCATCGGGCTCTCTGCTCAGCGGGGAGCCTGCTTCCTCCTCTCTCTCTGCCTGCCTCTCTGCCTGCTTGTGATCTCTCTGTCAAATAAATAAATAAAATCTTAAAAAAAAATGTTTAAAGTTCTTTATAAATCCTAACAGTCTTATTTCAGAAAGTCTTAGAAACTATACCTAGTTTTTACTCAGTTAAGAGAAAACTTGTGAGAGAGAGATGATCGTTTACCTTAAATGATCCTGGGGCTGGAAACAATTTGAGAAATACATTTGCAAAATGAAATGTCTATTATTTAGCTTGTCTTTGAAAAGCTGAATGAGACTTTGGAGTTGCTGTGGAGAAGAAAAGAGAATCACGTTCTTGAATTTATTTTTTATTTTTTTTAAGATTTTTATTTATTTATTTGACAGAGAGAGACCACAAGTAGGCAGAGAGGCAGGCAGAGGAAGAGAGAGGGAAGCGGGCTCCCTGCTGAGCAGAGAGCCCAATGCGGGGCTCGATCCCAGGACCCTGAGACCATGACTTGAGCTGAAGGCAGAGGCTTTAACCCACCGAGCCACCCAGGTGCCCCTCTTGAATTTATTTGTAAGTAATGTATATGCATCCATGATTTTTCTTCTTGCTGATGGTAAAGAGAAACTGAACTAGCAGGTTAAACTTGTAGCCTTCACAGAGAACCTCCTCTCCTTGCCTCATTCACCTTAAGTAGGTGAAGAAGAAAAGATGTCATCTCTGAATAATAAATGGAAGATTAAGAGAGGCTTAATCTCCGTGGTATTTCCAGTACCCAAAGTTTCTTTAACTACAAAGTCCATCTCCAATGTCTTGTCTTTTTTTTTTTTTTTAATTGCATGAATTGTCACTAATTTCCAATACATCATCAATGTTCTTCATTACCTTTTCTTCAGCCCATGGAGTCATGTGAAGAATGATGCAATCAGGAAGTGTCTGGTGAAAGTAAAAAAAATAATAAAAACTAAACACACCTAGTAACCTAGAAGTGAGGTATTCATGTTCAAACCTACTCCTGCCATCTTCATGCCATTTGCTTCCAGTGATATCCAGTTGACTTAATTGGTTTAGATAGAAGATTTAGCATAGACCCTGGCAATTTTTTCAAGAAATAGCAGAAATTCTTTGCGGATGATAATAAAAAAGAAAAACAAGAGTGGGGTTAAGGAAGGAGGAGGAAATGTGGGACGAAAGATAGTGCCTTGTGCACATTTTCACAGGCCTAGGTCAGTAAGGGTGTGGCTGGTAAGTTTCAAGAGGGACCGCCTTCTTGTTCAGGCAGAGAGCAGCTGCCTCCTGTCCCTCAGCTTCTCTGCAGATTGAAAAACCTCCATCACGGAAGGGTGGTGACTTCTCAGCTATCCTCCTGCCTATGAGAGGCTACTCTGACTGCTCTAGAGTTGGGGAAGAAAGAAAAAAGAAAGGGTAGACAAAATCTTATTTGACTGGAGTGGTTCGATCTGAAACTTATTTACATCTCAGTAGTAAAGTGAAATATACCTGAAATTTATTTTGCACTCAGTAGATATTTAAAGCTGACTCATGTGTATGTGTGTGTGTGAGAGAGAGAGAGAGAGAGAGAGACAGACAGACAGACAGAGAGAGGTTACTATGGATCTCATGTGTGAATAACCACCCCTTCTCCGCCATCCCAGTCACTGAAAATTTCTCCCTGGCAGTTACCGCCACTGTAGGAACTCTTCCATCTCTCTATTTATAAACACCCCCTTCAGCAAGAGCTTGCTGGGCAGAAGGGGGCTGGGTAGTAAGAATAAAGGTTATATTATGAAATTTGCTCAGGAGTCTAAGTCTGAGAACAGTCACTAGCATAAATTTCAATTTGCAACCATTATATTATACCCTTAAATTAGATGACAAATGATTAAAAGACACAATGAGGATTTTTTATTGTTGTCAAAGCAGCTTTCTTTCTAGATTGCTAAAGATATGCAATTAATATATATAAGTCCTTGAAACTTGATTTACTCTCTTCTCATTTTACAGTGAAAAAAAAATCTAAGTTTATTCAGTTATTTTGTAGCAGAGTAAATTCTAGAAAGAGAGTCTCCTACATCCTACACCACTGTTCTTTCAACCTTGTGCCTTTAGGGTGAATACTTAGTAAAATGATTATTTTAGGAGAGATGATAGTGTTCCTTTGCCTGGCATATCTTAAAGTATTAAAGGGTGGTTATGATAGAGACGGAAGCTCCCGTAACTCAATTCTTAAATAATCTTTTTAAGATAATCTTTTTTCAGTTTAAGTGAAGACTAATGACAATTGAGGCTACAGAGATCGTGACATTTTTTGGAAGAAGTTTAACTAAAGAGCCTAAAAGTACCTATACTATTACAGCTTAGATAGTGAGCAAATTGTGCCCATCTATTTATATGACATGTATAGTCATGATATATGGTTTTCCTGAGGCACAAAAGTGGAGGCCAAGCAATTGCATAATTAATTATAGTGTTAAATTCTCCATAGCTGCTTAAAATCCATATACTAACAATACTGTACTCATCAATTCATAGGCCAAATATGACTGATAGAAATAATTTTTTAGGCCCATCCTCTTGCCTTACTTTTCATTTTAGTATTTATTCCTATAAAGTATTTTTAAATGCTTAAATAACTATAGAATATATTTGGCATTCTTGGTAAACCTTTTATTTGGGATTATGTTATTTCTTACTCTGGAAAGACTTCATTCAGGCACCAATTGCAATTAGATTATACAAATATTCTAATTAAGTTGAGTGGAAATGATTCTTTTTCAGAATGTTTTATGATAGTCCTGTTAAACAACTTTAAATCATTATTTGGTCCTTCCTAGCCTCTAAGCTTATTCAAAATTGAAAATGAAATTATTCTTCTTTTTCACTCTTATTTTTGCTAAAACGCATACCTCTCTCCCTCTCTCCCTTTCTCTCCCTCTATGTCTCTTTCTCTCCTCTCTTTCTCTATCTCTCTCTCTACACACACACACACACACACACACACACACATATGCACACATATACATATAAGTATACATATACATACATACTTTATAGAGTTCTATTTATAGTTCTCTCAGATCTTTTATATATAGTACATTGGGTATACAGATGAAAAGTCATCATGAAATATTTCTAGGCCTTATAAACCTATGGAAGAATAAATGAGCCAACATTCTGTTATTTCAGAGGGTCGAGCTAAGACCAATAGCTAGAAATTACTGGAAGCAGATTTCAGCCCAATAGAGATTATGGCTTTCTCCTGATCAGAGCTATTAGAACATAGAAAGGGCTTCTTGGGGAGGAAGTGAGGCCTCTATCATCAGAATGATTTAAGTAGACTGGTTTTATTTATATTGAGAGAAACTTAATGGGCTTTAGTTGAAGTAGAAGACTTCCAAACTCTAGGATTTTAAGATTCCTCTTTAGTTTTGAGTCCAAGTCACAAATGCGTATTCAGAAATGAAACTATATAACTTTAAAGGATTTGCTAATAATATGTATGCTCAAGCGACAACCAATTGGGCCAAGATCAGGTTTGACCAGGAATTACTGCCAAGGTGTGCAATTAAAAATTATACAACTTGGGTGTGGGCACCAGAGTTCAAGTTTTACTTCTGAATACGTAAGTGCTAGTGACTTGAACTAGCTAGGTTCCCTAGGAGCACTGAGGACTTAAGGCTTTGGGTTGAGAAAGATCAGGGTGTGAGAAAGAACTAGAGCCTTGCCCTGTGAAATGAGAGGCTGCAGCCACTAGCTCAGGAAAGCTTAAAGGGAAACCTGGTAACATTTTTCACGAGACTTAGTATCACTGTTCATGTTTATTGGAAAGTGATAAATAAAGGTTTGTTGAATTCTTAAGTGATTTTTTATTTTAATCATGATTTATACCCCCACCTGCTTTCAAGTGAAATAATAAATAGTTATGATCTTCTGTTGCATAATGGAACCAAACTTTCGTTTCGGTAAATATACACCAGGAATGGTTATGCCAACCAAAATGCAAAACTACAATACAATGGAAAGGCAACTAAAACAACACTTTTTTTCATATAGTAAATGACATAAATAACTTTCATATAGTAAGTAATGTTCAAAGGGACACTAGTAAATGACATTCTTTCCTGTTTCGAGAAGCTGGTATTATTCTAGAGTAGTAGAAGAAAAGAGACTTTCAGGATATATTTCAGTGTAAGGCATTCTTTGCAAGACTGGTTTGGGTCTGCAGCTTCTAAGGGGAATCATTATGATTCCTCTATCAGGTTTGTTTGTTGTTTGTTTGTTTTGGACCGACTAGAGTTTTAACTACTGTACATGATATATTGATAACATAGCTGCAGACGTGATACTATTTTATACCATGCAACGAATACAATTGAACTTGTCCCAACAGAGTCACATGCCTCCCCCAGGAACCACCTATAGTTTCTAACGAAGATAAGGGCATCAGAGCACGTGTGGTAAAATCATTAAGCTTTGCTCTGAGCCTCTTCTCTCCAAAGACCATATCAATGACATGAGAAAGGGGGGCACAGCAGCATCTTCTGGTCCTTACTCATCCGGCCAGGGTGGTGCAGAATCCCTGTTTTGACTTGTACACTGGCAGATTTTATTTTGCAAGTGTGTATCTCAGCATGAGCCACAACCTTGGGGACAGCCAAGTGTCAGTTTATTCCCAAGTTTATGGGGAGGAACTCACTTGAAAACACAGGGCGAGCTGGGTAGCGATGTGGGTTGCATCATGGTCTCTAACCCAGTATTTCTCAGACAAGATCTTTCTAATCTGCCGATTAGATGGTGGCTTTGTGGCATTTGGCACATTCGTTTTAAACAGGATGTATCCATTTTGTACACCCACCTAGTTCCTGCCAAAGAGATGACCTGTTGAGACAAACAAACAAAACTCTAGAGTTTCCAGGATACAACTGAAAGCAGTCCGACTATGTATCCCCTCCCCACCCAAAAGACTGTGTGGAATCTTCCTGGAAAATTCACTGAACATTATAAAGATAAAATGAGTTTTTCTGACATTTTCAGAGACATTTAATACCTGAGAATTTCCAGAATGTGCTGAACTAAAACAGCCTTTTTAATAAGTGTTGGTTAAATGGGGGGGGGGGGAGGGAAGAAGTTCCTTAGCTGGTATAAGCTTAGGTTAACAAACTCCTTGAAGACCAAGGCTAAAAGTCCTTCCACATAATTATTAGGTGATCTAAAATTGCAGCCTGACTTGAATCAAAGCAATCGGTCTTGTGTCGACAGCTCCGCTGGCCCTTCATTTGTGGGTAAGCAGAGTAGTCCACATATGACATATTTGCATAACGCCATGAGAGTAGGGACAGACTGACTATGGCCCTATAGCACCTCTTCCCTCTTGTAGAGTAAACGTCAGTCTTTTTCATTAGATGATATTAGAGTGCCATGATAATGCTGTACTTGCAATTTAGGCTTTGGAACCGCCTGATAGATAAGAATTAAATCTCACCGCTCTTCACCCAACATCATTCAATCGGAGATACTTGGAGTAAAAGAGCGCTATTCATAATGACACCAGGACAACAGCATGTCTTGGCTATGCAAAAACCAGAGCGCTCAGTCCTGCTAGCCTACCAGTGCAGAAAGGCAATTAGGAACCCCAGCCTTGTCCTGAGAGATTAATTATGTATTTTGAGGCTGAAAAATAGGTGACAAAATTTGAGATTTGTAGCACAGATATTCTTTATCCCACCTTCTAAATTAGACCCAAACCAAGATCATGGTTGTCCTCCATGGTAACACCCACCTGGCCTTCCAGTCCTGTATGAAGAGAAGCCACAGTGTTTAGCCAACCCAGAAAGCAGAATGTGGTTCACTGGAAACTCAGTTTGGTTTCTCATTATTTGTTAATTTGTGAGTCACTTAATTGAGAAACTCTTGCTGTAGAAGGAGGAATGCAGGAACAGATGAGGTAGGACAGCATGCGGACGTGCATGGGAGCAAAATAAACCTTTCACTACACACTGTTGAATTTATATCTTTCAATGTGGTCAATGCAGAAGTGAGACAGTGAACAAAAGGTGTCCTATGGTATTTGTAGGTGGATGAGCAAAGGGATCCGTCTTGCCTCTTGGCTCCTTTAGAGGAATGCATGGAGGTAAAGAGGATGAGGGTTAGGATTGAGAAAGTGTCCTCGGCCAGATTTAGGTAGGTTACTAAATTCTGATGATTCCTTTTAAGAGCTCATTCGGACAAAAGGAAGCGATGAGTCTGACCTATCAGGATAAACAACTTAGAAAGAAGCAACTCTGTAATTTTCTAGATTTGACTTTAAAAATCTAGTCTTATGGGCAAATATTAATGAAGAGAACTGATCAAATGGTGTTAAGAGTCTGGAGGGAGAAACCTTAAATCACAAAATATCACAGGGAAAGTGAGACTGAAAAATGGGAAAGTATAATCTGCAAGAAAAGAATTTGGCCTCTTCCAGTAGGAAAAAATCAAATTTGGAGGATTTTTGCTTTTGCAATTTCTAAAGGGCAGAAATACCCTTTATGAATTTGTCTGTGTGCTTGGAGCTGGGGTAGCCTCAGACTTTGTACACAATATAATGTATATTGGGAGAGGCAGTTTTGTTGGAGGTGGGCTTGAGGAAATTGAGGTTGCTAGGGGATTTGTTTTGAGACAGATCTGGTTGTCTGTAAGCACATTGTTTTTACTAACATTTTGTGCTTATTGGGGGCGGCTTGACAAGTCTCTTCCTGTTCTATTTCAAGATGCCCCCTTACATCTTGTTTTAGACCTGGAACACTTTGAATACCACCCACATGAGGCATAAAATGGCTACATATTTCTGCAATCTGTTGCCATGAGCTAATGACAAATGTAATACTGAATACTATATAAGTCTGGACTGTAGGAAGATCTATGTAGGCAAGAGAAATGGATTGATCTTATAATGATATGAACCATTTTACCCTCTGCCTTATTTAAAGTCAAAAACCTTTATCGTAACATTTTAAAATTATAACTTTCATTGTCACTTTTGCAATGTCTCATTTTCTCTCTATTCTCACATCTAGTTAATTTATCAAGCACATACTAACGATGAATTATTTAGGCAACGGGAAAGTTTTTTTGGTTTGTTTGTTTTTTAAGATTTTACTGATTTATTTGAAAGAGAGAGATGAGATAGCAAGCACAGAAGAGAGGGAGAAGTAGGCTCCCTGTTGAGCAAGGAGCCCAATGCAGGGCTCAATCCCAGTACCCCGAGATCATGACCTGAGCCAAAGGCAGCCGATTAACTGACTGAGCCACCCAGGTGCCCCAGCAACTAGAAAGTTTTAATGGCTATCCATTTGCAGACATGTTGGGGAGGAATCAAACTGTTTGAAGTAAAAGGACAAAATGCATAAAATAACTCCATTTTTAGAAATGCTTTAATGAGAAATAATATTACCAAAACCAGAAGAAAACAACCTTCCATTAATGAATGGTAGCTTGTTGTGGCTGGATACATTGAAGGATTTAAAACTTCAGGGTGTGGCAGAAGCTGCGTAGCTTCCTGACTTCTCATCTGGGAAGCTTTGCTGCTACACACTACTGACAAGATGCAGATCCGTGCTCTATCCACTTATTAGGATTTTCTTTTGGAGCGGATTCCAAATGGGATTTTCTCAAGGAAGATGTGGCTTTAAGGGTTGTACAGAGAATGAGTGAGCAAGACGTGGAAGAACCAGGGTCAAGAAACCTGGTTATAAAATTTAAGAGAGAAACTAGTTTCAGAATAACGGAATGTCCCCCCTCCTTACCCCATTTGAAGTCTTCCGTCACACTTTCTGGTGAACAGACAGAAAGAGAGCTGCCTCAGGTTAATTAGAAAGTAGTCCAAAGGTTGAGTAAGGTAATTTTTGGAGTGAGTTGGTTCAGTTTCCTGTCTTTTCCATATATTTTTTACATCTTTATGGGGATACAATCAGACATCCTTATGCAGGGAAGCGAAAGTCACCCTGATGTGTCAAAGCCATATGCAAGTTCTTACTTCACAACTTTGCTATTCAAAGCATGGTTCCCAAACCAGCAACACTAGCTTCACCTGGGAGTTCCTTAGAAATGCTTGGTCTTATGCCTGCTATGGAAACTACTGAATCTGCATTTTAACAAGATCCCCAGGTAATTGTTTGCACACTAAACTTTGAGAGGTATGGCTTTATAGTGCTCACTTTGTCCTCCCCCGCCTGTTTTTGCTTAATCTGCACATGTACTAAGAAAAGACTCCATTGTTTCAACATGGATTGCTTTGTGTATTCTCTCCAATGATTGATTGAACTTTCTCTACTAGCTGCTTACTTCCCAGCCACCAATGCTCAAGGTCCTTAGGAAATGATTATGTACTACGGTCAACTTTGCGGAAGACACATTTATCTACACAAACTGTAACGAGGAAGTTGTCTTTAAATAAAATCACACCATACACGCCAAATTTATGTGAGAGTTTGTGGATATGAAGCGGACCAACTACTAACATTCATCAAAGGAAAGTGAAGAGAAATATTCCGCTTTACCACTAGGTGGAAATAGAGTAATTTTGAGTATACTTTTCAGAGCTATGAACTATTAGCACAGGAGATAAGCTCAAAAGGACCTAAGAAATCATTTGCTGTAATTCTTCTTAATTTCATTGATGAGAAAACTGAGTTTCTGGAGATGTTAAGTAAAATTGCATGTGTCTTACAGATGGTGGTCTTCTAGAGCTACGGAGGGGGAGAATTACTGATAAGTTTTGATCTTCAACCATTTTCATCTATTCGAATAACATGTCATTATCCTCCAGCATGAAGGGAAGATAGGATGTAACACCTACATTGCCTCTGTGTTACTGCTAAAACTAATGACGAGCACAGTCATTTAAATTTGTGAGGATAGGTTTAGAATAAAATGATTTTTCCTCATCCCTGTATTATAATATAATTAATCTCAATCAAGTAATAATTCTCCCTTTTTGTAATAAAGAGATATTCAACCAACCCATAAAGTCACACAAGATTTTAATCAGATTTGTTTTTACAAACATTTTTGGTTTTTAAATTTCGTATTGGGTTCAAGTTAAGTAGCCTAGAACAGAGCTTCAGTTAGCGGGTTAAGGAAGTACTTTGTTTTTCAGAACTTGAAATCTATTCCCATTATTTTTAAGAAAGGCAGGGAATCCGAATTCAGGCCTTGAGGGGCATTAGGAAAAATCTACTCCAATCTCTTTCCATATCTATATATCTTACAGGTGAGAAGTACCAGAGAACCAGGGATGAAGTGTATTGCCCACAGTAGCAAAGCCATCACCATGCCCTTCTTCTTTGTTCTAGGACAGACTCTAGCACATATTTTGGCCTATATCTTTCTGTTGTTCATTGGTGTGTGTTAACCACAAAAGGATTATTTTCATTCATTACATCAAAGAGTGTGTTTAAAAGTTAACTTTTAGTTAACTATTCTTAAGTACTATTTCCTAAGTTCTTATGTATTTAGTACCATAGTGTCATTTTCCTTTTGATATTTCTGTGACATGGTGGTTATGATCATCTAAAAATTAGCATTCCAGGGGCACCTGGGTGGCTCAGTGGGTTGATGCCTCTGCCTTCCGCTCAGGTCATGATCTCAGGATCCTGGGATCGAGCCCCGCATCGGGTTCTCTGCTCAGTGGGGAGCCTGCTTCCTCCTCTCTCTGCCTGCCTCTCTGCCTACTTGTATCTCTGTCAAATAAATAAATAAAATCTTTTAAAAAAATAAAAATAAAAATAAAAAAATTAGCATTCCAGTCCAGAGTCCTGGCTATCATTACCATGTTCCATATGAACAAGCATGTTGAATTAGCATATTAAGTATGCAAGTCCAAGCACACAGGAGGAGCTGCCTCACTTAGGCCTGTCCTAAGTGTATAGAAGCCAGCACTTGCATCACTGAGCAAATGACATACTTAGCTGCCTTCAGAACTTGAGTATTTTCTCAGCAGTAGAGCCTCAAGTGTGGGACATCCGGGCTCTTAATGGCACATCTACATGGTCCAAGTCCCTTGGTATTAAAATGGTACCACAAGAAAAAAACAAAAAACCCCAAAAAACCTGGAGTGACCTTAAAATTAGGGCAGGAATTTGAAATAAAAAAAAAGATTCAGTGCAGGGGAATAAATGTCCCGAGGTATGATGGGAAATGACCAACCAACCCCAGATTCCAGTTTGTAGAGGAGAGAACATGAACCCATGTCTGGTATGGTTCAGGAGACTGTAGCCTCCACTCTTAGCCCCTTGAGTGCAGTGCGCTAGAGGCAACCAGGTGTGGTCCTGTTTCACAAGCTCTGAAGTGAGGACTGGACAGGAATTCTGGTTCTACCACTTTGCAAACGTTCTCTGCCTCGTATCCTCTTTCAGAAAATGGGGACAACACTAGCAAAAATTTAGTGGAGCTCAGAGTTAATGGATAGAAAGTGCACAGGAAGCAGGGCACCTAGCACAATAAATGGAGCTCCTCTCCATCCAGGCAGCTGGCCTCTCTGTGTGGCAACTTTTTCACCTCGTCCCAACTCACTCCCGCAGGGACCTAGGATCACCTGGTAAGATACCGTGACAAGTACACTTTGAAAAGTATAATACTCTACACAACAAACAGAGGCTATCATTATCATTAAAGGCAAAGAGGAAAGCTCTGGAGTCCTAATACTTGGGAATCTGAGAAGAAACTATGAACGGCTCACGCAGCTAGGAACATAAACGAATAACACATTCTTGATGGGTACATTTAATAGCAACGGCGGTCACTTAAACTGAAACTTAAGGGGTTTTAGTTCAGAAACTGCCTACACTGTACTCAAACCAGGTATAGGCTGGCCCTGAGGCCCTAACTGGGCAGGGGTGGAGGAGGGAGTTGTGGGGAGAGGTGGGGGTGTCCTGAAGGTGGGGAGAACAGTTTCTCTCAGGAAGGGTCCACTGACCAGGAGCGGGGATGAGGGAGGCGAATAAGTTTATCCTTCAATCAGCCAAACCACCACAGATAAATCAAGTCCTGCCCCCAAGCCCTAGAAGGGCTAGTGGATTCATCGCGGGTATTTCGAGGGAAAGAGAGTGGCGGCCAGGAGGTAAAACGGTGGGACGCTGGAGAGGTGGGGCGGGACTCCTCACCCGCCCCTCCGGCCTCCCTGCTTCGCGGAGGCGCTGGAACGTGCAGGCGCTGGCGTCCGGGGCGGCATGGGGCGCGCCGGGCGAGTCCCCGCTTGCAGGAAGCGTGGGGGGAGCCCCCAACCTTCCTCCGTCCCCCGGCAGGTGGAACGGGTTAGCGCCTCGAGACCCGGGGAGAGAGGCTCTGGGGGCCTGCCGGGAGGGGCGGGACGGGGGGGCCGGGTGCGACGCGTCTCTCATTGGCCTCTCGGAGCCGCCCCGGCGCGCGCCGCTTTTATAAAGCAGCCACGCGAGCCCGCAGGTCGCAAGCCAAGCTCTCAACGCCCTGCTCTGCTCTGCTCGCTCGGCCCGCCCGCCCGCGCCCACCATGGCCACCATTCAGCAGCTGGTAGGAAGATGGCGCTTAGTGGAGAGCAAAGGCTTTGACGAATACATGAAGGAAGTAGGTGAGGCTCCCGGCCAGGCGGCGCCTGTAACGTGGCGAGTGTGTGTCTGTTCCTGGGTCCCCTTCAGCGTGCCGAGCTCCGCGGCGGGGCATGCCCGGCTGTCTGCCCCAAACCCCTGTACCCCCATCCATCTCCCATCCCCACACCAGCACGTGGGCAAGCAGCCGGCAGAGCAGCGTGCGCCTGCCGCCCGCCTGCGGATTCTGAGCTGTTCGGTCTCCGGGGCCCCGCAGCTTCTTCCACTTTCCCCCAGCCCACGCGGCAGCCACCCGCACTGCTTCCTGTCCTTTAGCGCGCTCCTCTTCCGCCCCAAGCTTCACTTCTTTCGACCCCGTCAGACAGCCCCCGTAACTCTCCCTCTTTTTCTTTTCCCACTGCTCGTCTTCCCTCCTCGTGCCGCCGTCCTGCAGTCCCGCCGTCCCGCCATCCTGCCACTCCCACTCGCCCCATCGTGGCCGCACCCACTCCCTCTTTCCCACCTTGCTCCCGCCTTGCCTCAGCTTTTGTTCCTGGATGGCGCACGGGTCCCCTCTTCTCCACAGGGCGCGGTTTCCCGCAGAAACCCTTCCGAAGGTCCGAATGGGGCGACAGCTTCGGCCCTCGTTCTGCGGCTCGGCCGCCTCTGCCCCAACCCGCAGGCGCTCTGCCCGCCCTCACCGTGTGAGCCCGGGCCCTTTGGTTTGGAGCGGCCCCCGGCGGAGCGTCGGGTTATCCTCGCCTCCCGGCGGCAGAGCGGCGCTCCGAGGCGTGGCGCAGCCGGCGCCGACCGTCTGGCACTGCCAGCCCTGAGCCCTGAGCGCCGCGGTGCCAAGGGCATCCGGCGGGTCCCCCTGTGCCCACGAAGGGCGACGCGCTGCTGCCCTGCCCTCTGTGCCTGCAGGGTGGGGGGGGGCGTAGAGGCGGGGAGTGGGTTTATTGGAAAGCAGCCGTCAGAAACTGCGGAGCCCTCCAGAGGCTGCTTTCCAGCCCTGTGCAAGATGGGTGTGGCCCTGCAGGAGGTCGTTCCCCCCCACCCCCCTTAAAGCCTTTCAAGGCAATATGAGTCTCTGTAGGAAGATTCCAGTTCACTCTCTCAAAATAGTACTTGATTCTCTGTTACTGTCCTTTTCTAAGCCAGTGACAGCGATTGTATGCTGGTTGACCCATTGGGTGGATTAGCAAACAAAAGTGGACCTTTGTCACAGGCCACTAGGAAGTGGGATGGAGGACTATAGCATGGATCTTCTCAGAAAAGGGGCTTCCAGCCCTAAGACAACTGCTGGAACCCTGAGGGTGCTTTAGAAGCTGCCCATCCACAAATGTTAGCATGACTGCTTTCTGGGGCAGACTTTACTACAAAGACCCTCTGCAGAAACCTAGTCCCTGTGGCACTTCAGAAACCCACCTTCATTGGCCTTTATCCAAGACAATGACAGGTGAAGGCTGTTTCTGTGGTGAATCTTGAGCGTATTTATGATTCTCTGAGTAACAGTAGAAGTCAATCTTTTTCTTTTTTGCACTATAAGTCTAGAGCAAGGTAACTCTGGAAGAAGCCAATTATTGCACTCATAGGCAATAATTGTCAGTGTATGTTCACTTTTGTGAGGACCAAATAAAGAATGCTGTTTCTCTGCCCTTTGAAAATGAATGTGCTCATTGGGTGGTTTGTTTCCAGGGTTCTAGAATCATGAAAGTTGTCCGGACTCAACTCATTAGAGAGCAATCAAGGTGTGGGAAGAGCAGAGCCCTATATTTGTCCAAAGTGAGAATTAATAATGACTCATCTAACAACACGAGGCACCAGTCCCCACACTAGCAAAAGAGAAGGCACCCAGGGGACATTGCAAGCCTAGCTGAGTTTTTATTATCAAGCTAGTTACTCAGCTTAGATTTAGTGTCTCCTCTGTGAAACCAGGATTTGGCCTAGATCTAAGTTTCCTTATAAATGTTAACATTAGGGACAAATAGATTATAAATTAAATATGATATCAATATAGTAAGTGAGTTACACAGCTCTGAAATGCTTACTGTTTTTGAGGATAAAATTTCCCCAATTTATCTGCATCACGATTGTGCCGTTAACTCTTAAAATACCATGTTCTCTGAACAGAATGGATTTGGACCTTGTGTAGCTATTAATCAGATATTTATCAAGAGCTTTGGATATGTCAGACTGTGTGCTAGAGT